TTGCGTACTTGATCCAACTGCAAAGGGAAGATTGGACGTTGGTTTTTTCTGTCAATGTGACGATGGTATCATCGCCATCTTTGTTTGTATTGTCAACTCAGCATTTTGTTCTTGTTGGGCAGCGATTAAAATAATGAAAGTTTCTTGTCACTTAACTGTACTTTCCGAAAGTTCAGGAATATACTAGACACATTATATCCTTTCGAATTCGAATGCAATTGTCTTCCGCCATTTTCAGGGCACACTTTTTTCACTAATAATTCGTATTGCTTTTGCCGCAGTGGATACGGAACTATCCCACTTCTGATGTTAATTTAAGGGGGCCATAAGGGTGTCAACCTTGAATAAAACTCTCCCCAAAAACCAAACTACTTTTGTGTTTGAACACTATTACAACATTATTAGTTGCTTTCGGCTCTTCGGTGGAAGTCGTACTTCCGTTCGTTGTTGAGTATAATTGGATAAAATAATAATTGTACAGGGTGTACCATTTAATAAAAGAGAAATATTAAATAGTAAAAGCAAGTTTTGTTTGTTTCTCAGTAAATCTGTGACCATCGGTTTTAAATATATTTTTATCACTACAGAATTAATTTATGCCGTAATATTTAAAAATTTATTTGATTTAAGGCTGTATTTTGTAGCGTAATACACACGGTGTGTTTTAAAGGAAAGACACTTAATCGAAATCCGTTCCATAAAGCTGCGGTCGTGACGTCGCCGCTTTAATAACTGGCAAATCGTTATTGCGGTTACAGTGGCGACCGAAGGCTTCCATAATTAAATTTTGCTGGACATTGTTTAACGTGCAAACAACGACGCCCGTAATCGACAGGTGTTGCAACTCAAAGTCACCAGTTCAGGAAATTTAAAGCAAATATACACGCCGATAGCGGTAACCTAACATGGCGACCGGTCGGCAAGTGATTGATTCGATATAATCTTCCTTTCAGTTTTCTGTTCTGTTCTTCAAAATAAAGCGAGATGAACAACATGTTGTCCTAAATATTAGCTTTCAGAAACTGATTGAGCCGAAATTTGCATTAGCGAGCGAGCGAGCGAGAGGAAGAGAGAGGAGGTGTTGCTTTTATTATCAAGCAAAGATCTTTAGACGATCTTACACCAAGGCAACAATTGACAATATAGCATAGCATAGCATAGCATATAGTCTTTTGGGAAAGTCTTCAGTCGCACAAAGTTTAGTGTGACTTTGTTTATATTAAGGCACCTAAATTGACTACAACATTCAGTAACACATTTTTTTACTATAACGAATACTGCAATTTCACCGGTTGCTTTTCTCGTTTTGGCCCCACTAGTAAAAAGGAAAAAAAATGGTGGAGTAACACAACACAACTTATCCCAAGAAAGTTTTTGGTCTCAATTGACGAAGCCCTTTCCAGGAATTTTGCAAGAATGCGTTTAACCAATTCCCACTATTGATGTACTAAATTAACTCTTCATTCTTTACATATCAAGAGAAGACCCAAACTAATGTAACAGTATCCCCGCAGCAGCGAGATATTAAAAACCTTATTGAGACCAAAGCTTGATGAAAAGGGTCCTTAAGCAACTGCAACACCCGTGAGTACAAATTGTGCAGGTTTCTTTTTATATTTGCGTACCCCCCTTTATCTCCTAATTTCAAAAATATATAGATTGTATCGATATTTGGATAAGTCGTTCTTGAATTATTTAAGTTTAACTTTTTGCATAACTAAATAGATGTTGATCGAGGTGGCCATGCGTTCAGTGTGGCATATTAGGTCGCTTAACTTTAAATCGAAACATTCAGTTAGTTAATACGTTAGTCAGAGGAAGAAAAGCTTCATTTTTTTTGAGTTTTTTATTTCAAAAAGAGTAGAATTATTGGGAAATGAAAACCCACATCAAATTCAACCAGTAAAAATACAGGATCATAGATCGGTTCCTGTGTGGTGTGGCATGCTGGCCAACCAAATAATTGGACCGATTTTGGTTGATGGATATCTATCTGATGGGCAATCGACATGTAAGTTTCATTTGAAATAACATTGAAAATTATTTGGAAGGCCATTTGGTGGGGCACCGCCGCACAATACCGATCCAATACCTAAGCGACAGATATGATCATTGGATAGGCACAGATTGGGACAATTTTGATTTTTAAGAAACCGAGTATGCAATGACAGACCTCAAAATATGTTAAGCCAAAGAATTGAACAAGAAATAATCATGGTCAATGGAGACCATCCATTCACCATAAAATGAGAGATAATATTAGAAAATACTTGGAAAATCAGCTAGAATATATAGAAAACACAGTCATTTACTTCACATTATATTTTTATAATTATTCGTTTAATTTCGTTATTATCGGTTTTTATATATGGTGTTCCGTTTAAAAATAAAAAACTTGCTACTGTTTCTTTGCGACGCGCATTTGTTTTTTAGTCTTTCAGTCTTGTCTCAAGTCTAAACGATAACTTTGCAAAAATTACACAACTTTTGTATTAAAAGTCCTGTAGGTGGGTACGCAAATTTAAAAAATTACTCTGTACACTCACAGGATAAGTATAAGTATAAGTATAAGTATAGGTATAGGTATAGGTATAAGTATAAGTATAAGTAAAAGTATAACATAAGTATTCAAAAATATGCACACTTGCAACAGACAATATTTAGTAGCAAGGCCGCGTGCGTCATCGTCGATAGACAGCGAAATCGAAACAGTCGAAGAAGAAGAAAAAAATCAATCCCGCCTGAGAAAATGTGACCTAAATATCTTGATTTAGTGTGCACTTAACTAATGATAGTGCCAATCTAAGTCGTAGGGATCGCTTACTTCTGTACTCTCGGCTCCTGAGAAGGTGACGAAATTACAGTATGGTAGAGCTACTTGTGTTTGTTATTTATTATGTTTTTTGCCAAAAGTATTTATGCCTATGCCAACCTTAGACTGTTTAAAAAAACGACTGTATAGCCTGATCAAGAGCCAAGCAGAAAACTAAATGGATTTTCGACAAAGGAAAAAAATGATAATAACGGCAAAGTAACAACAGAAAGAAATCAATCATTGCAACGATGAAACCTTTTGTTTTAGAAATCGAATTTTTTATGTCACTTCACAAAATTTTCCCCGAGAACGTACTTTGAAATAAGCTAAATGCCAATCGAGCCAACAACGTGATACGAAGTGGCGGCACAATAAATAAAAACGAAATTACGTCACTTTTTCGATTGCTACTTCGGTCGCCACGTTTAATTGAATTAAGATGGAGGACGAAACGCTTCCGTGCCACTCGAATCCGGTCTGATAAACATCCCGCACTTAGCGTTCTTCTCGAGTTAACGTATTTTCTTGTTTCATTTCGTATGGATAAGTTATTGCGCTATTAGAGAGATGACTTTTCACCCGAGTGAAAGAGGAGGGAAACACCGGGAGGTAATTGGGGCATTGGGGTGAAAATTTCACATGCTACTTAAGTGGGTTGACGAAAGGGAAAGCCGGAGGCGATGATGATTGATTCGAAATAAACCTGCTTAACGATAATGGAATTTAATTTTTTTCTAAATAAAACCTAAAGAAAAATATTTGGTTCATTTTTTTAGACTATTACTACGGCTTTGGGTTAATTCAAAGCAGTTGTTGTGACTCAACAAAGCAAATGTGTGCAATTATTTCGCAGTATTTTTAATATCTCAATCCTTTTCATTTTAAGAACAGATTTTCATACGATTCTGGACAAATGCTACAATTAACGTGTCATTGGTACATACAAAAATATTTTTCTACTCCCGTCTGTAAAATAGCTAATTACAGACGGATCTAGTGTGCTGGACGCGTCACTTTATCCCGTCAGTTTCGTTTTCCATGAATCCGAGCCACTTCGGACATTTCCGGGATTTTACCGCACGGATTTGGGAGCAATCGTATGTTTTCGGAGATGTATTCCACGCTTTGAATTTTGACGTTGTTCAATTCGGACTGTCATGTCAGTGAATGTATTCGCGTTGTTTTTCGAAAATGTACCCAAATACTAACGGTCGCAGAAAAAGTATAGTATGCAACACGTTCGGTAAACTTTTTAAGTCACTCGTTTATTAAACACTCGCTCCGCTCGTGTCAAATAAACTCGTGAGTCAAATGCCGTTTACCGCACTTGTTGTATAATATACTATACCCAAACAGTTTATATCATTTGGCAAAACAAAGTCAAAAACTTAAGATTAAAGTTGAAATTTTTCGAAAACTAAATTTTCTTGTACAATTTTATACAAAATTGCAAAATACATTAATAAAAATTATTTACTGTATTACATCAGCCTTTATCCCCTTCATACTTTGTTATGTTATCTGTAGACGGTATATTGGTGTAAAATTATCTTTTCAAGTTCAGTTCCGTTATAATTTTGTCATAACGGAAAACAATGGATGTTTGAAAAAAAAAAGAGACAACAGAAAACAACAGAAGTGAAGAGAAGTGTCTTTTCAAAAAGAACATCGAAAATCACCGTGTTTTGCACACATGTAAGAGTATAATTTTATTTAACACAAATTTATTTTTCACCGAGAGTAAAAAGTATTTTCTAGAAGTAAATGCATATGCGGATTGATAATGGAGGAATTCACCCTGCATCTTGATATATAAATTTATTATATATTTTTATTTTTATTATATATTTTTATTATTGACTGACCTTTTCCAATTCTTTCTTATTTTCCGCACACTATTTGAAACGACCATCCTATTCTAAAGACTACTTGCGTACGTAATCAACAAAACACCCCAAGACTATGGATTAAATTAAGACCCCTTGCCTTACAAGTATTTCATCTAATCAATCTTTTCTCGCAAAGTTTAGAGCGGATCGGGCGTCTCCTTGGCAACCTTAAAGTTCTTTAGACTCTGAACAATTTGAAATTGATTTCACAATTAACGATGTTGCAAACGTACTCAATCTTCAAGAGTGATCAAAATATTTACAGTTTGTAAGAACAGATATTCTTTCTTTTTCAGCGTTGAAACCCAAAATGAAGAGTCACTACAGAGGTCACAAAATGGCCGTTTGGCTAAACCTTATACCCCAACTACACCAACCTGGAGACGAGGATGTCAATATGAGGCATCACCACTTCTACGAGAGGGAACCCTATTACTATGCAGGCAAGCATTTTGGTATTACAAAAAATTGCATACTTTTAGTTTGTTGCCTCTTCTAATTTTCTCTAAATTATAACGCTTAATGATTTTGCCGTGTAACGTGAAGAGAATAACAATTACGCGAATATTCGTTATCGCCTGGTTTCGCGTTCCCTTTTCGAGAATATTATCACAACACCCTGTCCATCATTTGGAAACTATTCGCGCCGACCCTCGACTTCACAAACAGACGCTGCGACACAAAGTGTCTGCAGCAGCATAAAGTGGCTGCTTGAATTCACCCACAGGATCGCCGCTACAGAGAAGATTGATTACGTCGATCGCTGTCAAGCATCAATTCTCGGTAACCAGCAACACCGGACAAGTTTTTTTGTGTCTCTGTTTATAGAGCCGAGGACTCGGAATTTGAGACCCCTCCTCTGAAATATATGTTTTTTTTTGCAAGCTGATCCCGTTTTCGATTAATATCATCGGCTGATGATAAATCTGCTTTTAATTCTCGTTTTCGATTTGTATTACTAGGATTTTGTGGGTACGCGCTAGAATTAGTCTCAAATATAAAAAAAGCGAATTAAAGTTGCATTTGATATACGAGCGTTGTCTCTGTTGACTCAACTGTTGACTACGTTTTTTATGAAATTTGTCGTGTCAGCGAAAAATTGATACCAGCACTAACCAATACTAAAATGATTTGCTGAGAAATATTACATTTTTGTAATAAAGAAAAAATATCTTATAAATATAAAAACTAACGATTATTACAAATCAACGAAACCAAATAGCAGCAAATTACGACCACAAACAAGACATTAAAGTTAGTATAATGTAATTACCACTGCGTTACGCCGCCGTTTCGACTGATTCTTTGACATAGTGTCAACTAATGTTTGGCAGTCACTGTAAAAATGTTCCAAATTTCTTGGAGACGGTTTCGCAACTCTGGAATGATTCTCTACTGGAATCGATTGAAGGTTTTTGTTTAACTTGTGTTGTTTTGAAGCAAATTAACGTACTTATCAGCACTCACATCTTCCAAAAAGTATAACTTTCACACTCCACTTGCTAACATGAATTTCCAATTCGTAACAAAAGCTAGAATTTTTTTTTTTATTGTACTCGTTTCAAAACTTTTCTTCCTTGGATCTCATGATACGACTTCGATTATGACCAAAACATACTTCAAATCTGGTTTTGTTTCATTGGTTCGAAGGCCATTATTTGTGTTCTGTGACTCATGGTAGCCTGTTTTTCTTCTGAATCTTTGTTTGAATAAAAACCGAATAAAAAATTGTATGCTCACCTTGATGAAATGATGAATACATTGAGAGATGTTGTAAACGTGAAAATTGATTTCTTAGCAAGGTAAAATGTTATCATTGGTTTTACAAGTCTTACCTTTATTTTCTCGAATCGAACATACAAACCCTTCAACTTAAGTTGCTTCCATCATGTATTTTGCTATATACAAATCATTTTGCAAATACAATTTCTTCAAAGAAACCAAAAAAAATGAAATATTTTATTTTTATTAATAAACCAACGTAATAATATCCTAAAGCTTATAAAAAAAATACACAAAAGTTGCTTCTATATGATGATGGCTAACCAAAACTGCCGGCAAATGTTCTCAAGGAATATTGGCGTGGTACAACTTAGGAGACTTTCCTTCTAGTGTTCATATTTATTATAACTCCGGGATAACTTAAGCCATCTAGTGTTTGAAAGATTAAAAACTTATTAATCATGAGATATAGCGACGAATTCAGGTAGTGTAACAACCTATTTTGAAATCCTTTGCTCACTTCTAGCCCTTTCGTCTTATTAACCCGTCCGGGCCCGTTTAATTTGTACTTTAGACAAATATAAGGTCTATTTACTTTCTTTCCCCAGCAGCTTGTGTTTAAACTATCAAAGTTTCGTAATTACTTTTTCCATGTAAGACAGAAACTTACCTACTGGAAAACTTTTAGGAAACATAAGTAGAAAGTTACTAGTTACTTGGCGGGCACTTCTGGTCCTCCAAACTGCAGGTTTGGATATAATCTAAACTATCGTAATGAAACGCTACTTTAAAACACATCGTTGCAAACGAACCAAATAAGGAAAGAATTATGTGGAAATTCTGGAATCTCACACAAACCTTTTCTTTTTACAGAATTTTTAAATTTGTCAGGCCAACAGACTTAGTAGTCCCAGATATACCTCTATAAAGTATTCTAGCTATCTCCAACAGTTTTTCCATTTTCAATCATCCTGCAACAATCATCGGAGATCCATATAGATTAAATTAATGCAATCTTATTACAAAATTATGCAGAAATTACAGCTTTTTGTTTGTAATAATTATTTTCTTCTGAAAAACCAATCTAGTTTTTGCTGATTTATATTTAGCAAAATATCAATATTATTAAAGTGATCAATTAGTTTACATATTTAATAAACGCATTAAATTATATAAGGCTCTGCCTTTAGAACCAAATTGTAATTTCCATTATAAAGTAAAAAAAAAACAAAAGGCGTTATAGTACTAACGCCGCAGATGAATTCTGGAAGATTCGGGTACAACGTACAATAACATCATGATTACGATCCGCAGGAAAGTGGCCGAAGCAGAAAAGTTTTTCATTTTCGCAAACAAGGTTCGCCTTAACGAATGTTTTTCGCTGTTTGGGAATCGATTTCGAACGAAAATTTAATTACACGGGAAAAATTTTTCGAGTTAATTGATCGAAGGGTATTTTATTATTTGTCCCTAGCGTCTTTAGTTGGGATGCAGATGTTACAGACTGCGACATTCTCCGGTTTTCTTATAAATCAGTAAATATATATGTGGGTTGGAATGGATTCATGTTCGAATTCATTATTTAGTGATTAATCATAAATTTGCAAAAACTAAATACCTACTAAAACTCTCTTGAGAATAATAGTATATTATATATATAAATATATATAAATAATATTAGGAAAGTCAAGACATAATGGAATTTCAATATCAGCTTGATTCATAGCGGAACTGGGTAATGATGTTTGAAAAAAAAAATTCAAACTCTCAAAATTTCTGGTCTAACCTTCGAAAGCCTTCGAACACGGACTAATCGTGGCCGTTAACGTTATTAAAGTTTCCCGGATGTGTTTTTATCATGTTGGGAAACAAGTTTTTAATGAAGAAAAACGAAGGAAAAAGGTAACGCTCGACTCTATCGAAATTCTGATAAAATCAAATTTGCTTAGAATCCAATTGCCGTTTCGAAAATTTATTATTTTAGCATTTATCCTTCAGAGAGGTTATCGAATGGAAAGCCGGGACGGGATTTGATTATAACTTGGGATATATTACTATCCTGTTTTTATTTTGATAGAATTTGCCCATCGAATGTGTTATTATTGTGCTACTCCCAGACGGGAGAAACGTTAGTACGGGATTTTGATTTTTTTCAAAATAGTTTCCGCACCTTAGTGTGATGAGAAAAATTTTGATACGTTTTGTAAAAACTACATAAACAGCTATATAATAAATTTATAGACTTTTAAAATTGATTAAAATTGACATAAACAGTTTAAGCAACAATTATATTAGCCACATTATTTGATAATATAATAAAATGGATTCCTTTCTTAACAGGAGTGATGAACACTATAAATATCTTACACAAATGACATTCTGCATTATAACTACTTCACGGTCAGATTTCTGCATTAAAACCATATCAATCGTCCATATGTTTTACTGCAGGTAGTGCAAATGGAATACATAGAGCTGCATCTCTCCACACTTTAATTGTTTCACTACACATTGCAAATTTTTCGGTGCAACTTTGATAGCTTTTAACACAATTATTTAGCATTAAGATGTAGGGCAAATTGTGGTGTTCCAAAAGCTTTACTATAGCCGTTCAAAGAATGGAAGTGGTGATTTCTAATAAAATCTGAAGATTATATTCCTATTCTATCTGCGATGCGTTCCTGTCATTCATGGCCAAAGTGGTGCATTCAGACCTTTCCTCCACTCTCCTAGAAGAGCCCTGTCATCTTGAGGAAATACGATATAACTGTTTATTGAGAAGTTTGGATAGTTCCTTGGACTCAATGAATTTAGCTCCCAGTACCTTCATTCGGCTGCCACCTAGTGATGCACAGCTGGTTAGGTAATGAACTGGAGCTTTTCTAAACACAAACTCCATGTGCTGTCATGGTCCTTGAGATGGAGGTGCAGCTTTAGATTGCCGTGTTAGGATTGTTGAAGTTTTTAAAAATAAAAAAAATCGGCCACTGATTTTTTTATTATATATTATTATCTTGTTTGTGTCAAAAAATGTCCCAAATGTGCAAAAAGTCCGAAAAGCCGTTTGTACGGTGTGTCTTATTTTTAAGGCTAATAAAGTTTGCCTTTTTATGAAGTGAAAGCAGGTAGCGTAAACAGAAATAGTAGATCCGCTAAACTTGTGTCTTTTTATGAAACACCCTGTTTATCATTTTCATTAGGCTCGTATGTAACACTTACAAAGTTATTTCAAATACAATACAATATCTCTTTACTTTTTTTTATGAGTTTGATCAGAGAAAAAAGTGTCGTTTTCCCTAATATACTAAAGCTGTCAAGCAGTCTTGACATTTCGTAATTATTATTTAAGTTCTGCCTCCTCTATATGACAATTAGGAGAAATTGGATATAATAGAAACGTATTATCAGTATATTGACAGGTAACTTTTAGTAATAAATTATGTAATATATGAGAAAAAACTTTTTGTTGTCGAAACAATTATCATGTCAAAATATATAATTTCGTAAAAATCTGAACTTTTAGTTCTTATTTATTTTGATAAATGGATTTTCATCGAGTAAAAGCCACCTCAGTTCAAAAATAATTTTAGATTAAAAAAAAAATCTCTACATCTAAAACTCCAAAACAGATACGTCATTTTTGTTTGTGGCACCTTTTATTTCATGAGAAAGCCGCCTTGATTCACGAAAGCTGGAATAAGCTGATTTTATTAATAAGGGACATACGAAAACCAAGAAAAACGTGCAAATACCATATTCAACCGGATTCTTACTACTTATTTATTAAAATGTTTGTTATCGATATATAATAAAACGTTTTCGTCTTTGTATGCAAAACGCTAAATAACTTTAAAATCGGTTCTGACAAAGGGGTAGGTAACGCGCAAATTTTGGGCGTTTCCAATTAACCAAATGGAAGTAGGGTGTTCGCAGTCGCCGACACGAAGTATGATGTAGGGGCACTTTTAACGTACTGGAGCGGGGAGTGATAAATTAAACTTTTTTTCTTAAATGTTACCCGCTTGTTTACCGCCGTAAGCCAAAATTACCTGTCCTCCATCAAGCATTTTCGGCCGTTTCGATCTCCGAGCATTTAAACATTATTGTCGCATTGTTACCGAACAGTTTTACTCTACTCTATACGGGATCAATTGGGACATCAAGAAAAGGAAACTTGGGTTCTAAGTATCAAATCAATAAATCTTTATTATTTTGTGTATCAGAAACCGTGATCGTCATCATTCTTAAACGAATCGATACTTGCTATGCAGTGGGAACTGTTTTTAACCGACATATGAAATTAAGTAGATTATCAGCTGATTGACGTTGAGTGTGGAAGTTGCTTGGTTCTCGTGGTAGTTCTTGTAGTGATTTTTAATTTGAAAGGTCTCAAGTTTTCTTATATATTTGCCATAAAATCTATTAACATTATGGTTTTATTTACGTGCATTTATGTTAATTGTTCAAAGAAACTTCCAGCAATACTTTTTATAAAACTTCAAAATTCCTTCTGCGTCGGTTTTTGTTGGTTTCTTCAGAGCTTGACTGAAACTGGCTGGCATTTTACTCTGTACCTACTATACACCTATTGTTTGAAGGGGGCAGAGCTCAATGAAGAGCATAAACACCGTCTCGGATGACTGCTTCCCATATTAGTGAGTCGCGGTTAAGATTGTTTGGTTGCTTATTGATTTCTATAGATTCTCGCATTTTTCTTTGGTAGAAGAATTCATTACATGCAGGAATTTTAGTTTTATCGAATAACATTTTATGTGCGATTTCGTGATTGTTCGACAACTGCTGATGAGTTTATTTATCTTAGTCTTAAGGGTCTGTCATGTTCTTTGAGCCTAGTTGATATTTTACGTCCGATCTCTCCAATGTATTCTTTGCCCTGTATGTAATGAAATGTTGTCTTTGACGGATCGAAGATGTTGATAGATTTTTGGACAAGCATTAAATCTGGTTTTGACATTATATTTCTTTAGTACTTTCGATGTGTGGTCAGTGATGTTTTGTATGTAAGGAAGGACGACAGTGTGTGGTGAAGTTTATTTTATTATGGAATGCTTAATATCTCCAATGTGGAAATTATTAGAGAGAAGAACTAAGGTGTTTTAGTTTCACGACTCTGTAACTGATATGATGATAAACGATGATTTTTGGGTCGGATGGTGATGTGACAATGCATTAAGCTATGTGTGCGTAGGTTTTCTGTAAACACCCAATGTTAGGTCTGATTTTCTGTTGATAAGAATATCTAAAAATGGGAGATTATGTATGTATAGAGTTTAAATGTTTAATAAAATCTACTAGAGATTCTAGAGAATAATTTTGGTTTTAGATGGGAAGTGTCGAGGGCTATCTTCTCAAAGGCATCCAAAAATATATTCTCGATTACTGGTGATAATGGCTTGTTCCCGACGTTTGTTCAAAAAAAATGGTGAAACGGCAGCAATTTCGACGCAGGAGGAATCCAGAAGATTTCTAAATAGTATTAGAGTAGCATGTGGAAATTCCTTTGATAAATTAAAATGGGCATTGTATTTAACATTTCCCAGTGATAAATTTTATAATCCATTTTTACACAATGTGGTACACATATGACGAGTAAACCAATATTCGTGTGTCATTGTATTCGCTAGAAATTGACGGTTCAGTTATAACTTATAACGCGAAAATAGAACTGATAATTAATTTTGGTTAAAATAACATAATTAACATAATAACTAGTTAGTATCTATGAAGCTAATAATTTATACAACGGCCATTTACATTAGTTGGCTATTTATATTTCCGCAAGGTTGCGTTTTTCTACTGACTCTCCCTATGAGCAGCCCTTCGCTTTAATAAAACGCAGCGTCTTCTCGCAAATATTTGATCGTGTTCTCTACAGGCGGTATCTGGAATAACGCTCCTATTCCCGCGTACCCCAGTTTCTTGGATTGCAGACTGGGCCTGACCATTCGGCTTCTTTGTGACAATATTACACCTGCACCTAATTTGAAGAGTTGTAAAGCTAAAGGTCCTTACACACAGAATCCTTAGTAGGTAAATAAATATACAAATCAAAAGAGTTGAATTAGAATAAAATATAACATTATAAAAATAAATGCTATTTTCCATTGTTGAAAGTACAAGTTAGTGATTTATCACTACTTACCAATATGGATAGGTACATAAAGAGCGTTCAAATTGGCAATTTTATTATATACGTCTCTTATCATTTTTAACTTTATCATATCCGACCGCCTTTGAGTCTTCATAACTGTTTTGCACTTACTTAAAATATTTAAATTGCAGCAGTTTTAACTTAGTAATTGAACAGTTGAACAAAATTAATTGACAAACAAACAAAAACTGTTTTTGATACAAGTTTATTAAATATTGTATTGCTAAGAGACACCTAGCCTCTATCAACAGAAAGAAAGGATAGTCGTAAACCGGAAACTCAAATCAGCTCAATTTCGTTGTTAGAGACCTGATAAAGCGTTAAGGGATTTTATTTTATTATTGCGGGAATAATAGATTCACCGATAAAGATCGGTTCCCCATAAAAAAGGGGATCCTAACAGTTGATATGTAAAAGAACCCGGAGTTCCAAAGTTATTAACATATTTATACCTTCAGCTATAGAAGGGAAAATTCAGAAATACGTTTTACATATCTATATTGCGCATCGCACAAAAACATATTGATATACGATGTAGTGCAACTATAGTGCAACCATTAGTATAAATACGCATGTCTGTCTCCAAAAAATAGCTTTAATATAAGACACTATGGATGGGGGGCAACTATCATGTTTGTTAAACTTTTTCACATTAGTATAAACCACAATTTATATTTAACACAATGTAAAAGTGACATTCTTCGCAGTGGATATCACAAAAATTTTAACAATAATCTTGAAAAACGTTGGGCAGCAATGAATGATATTCTAACCGCAGAAAAGATAAATAATCCGTTACATTTTCTACAACAGCTACAAAAAGCAGCTATGGCATGTGCATAGTGAATTTTACGAAGAAAACTGTAATTAGAGTGACTTTGTAATCATATTTTTCTCGTGCCTTTTCTTACGTGGATCATTCACTTTTATGCGCTAAATTGCAATACTTTGGACTCTCTGCCGATCCAGGGGCCCTCTTCTGCAACTATTTGCAAAAAAGACAAGTTGTTTGGACGACAGCTGGTGTGTCGAAAGTTGGTGAAGTCGTATCAGGGGTGCCTCAAGGATCAATCTTGGGGCCGCTATTATTTTTACTGTATATATATGAATCGGCATAGACATTTCTTTGCCTTATCATCTTTAAAACTGTTTCGAAAGAACATTAAAGGCTGGATAAATAAAGTGCTGATTGGGTTTTTCGTCTCTTAATTAATCACAGAACTATTTCTACAAGTACTTACTTTTTGTTCCTTTTGGTTATATTTTTATTTTTCTTTACTACGGGTTCTCTTCTTATATATTGTATTGTCAAAAAGGTGTTGAGACTGTTAAGACCTTTTTTTTCTTTGCTTTTCATCATTTTCACCATCTACAACGTAAATGTGAATTTGAGTTAATTTATTTCCCTGAGTTTCTTGCAAAAGAAAACGTAACTTCAGTTGATGCCTTACAAAATCAAATGATTTGAAAATTGCTGCGACCCAGAAAAGACCCTCTGGAGTGACTAGATTCCCGCTATCAAACTAGCGCGACCCAAGTTGCAGCATTAGATTTTATGTAAACGAGGATCATTTGTCAGATCTCACTAGTAGATATAATTGAGATGAGATGCGTGGTGCTTTGATAAAGTTTAAACTACTTAAGCGTGGAACTTTAAACATAAATCTCCTAAGCGAATGCCACATTTATTTCAGGCGCGGTAAGGGCCGAATCGTTTACGAGGTTGCCATCTATTATGCATCCGGCTTCAATGACGGATTCTCAAATCGTTGTCGGAGGAAGTGGCAGCAACACTGGCACAGAATGCGTACCGCCTTCCACAACCGGTGACAATGCAGAAGACGGAGAGGAAGGTACAGACAGTTGATGATAACATATCAGATTATATTTAATAATAACCCGCGATTCCAGTTTAAATTAATTCCGATTTATATTTCAAAAATGGCTGTGTTTTGTCTTATTGGTGCAGCTGGTCATCTGTTGTTTTCTTTTTTTCAAAGAAACTTCTACAGGCTACTGTAATACTGTTTATAAAACTTCTGCAATCCTCCTGCGTCGGTTTTTATTGAGTCAAACTAGCCAACGTTTCACCAATTATCCTGTTGGCTTCTTCAGGGCTTGACTGAAACTGGCTCGCATATTACTCTGTACTTACAATTACAATGTTTGAGGGGGGCAGAGCTAAATGAGAGGCATAAACATTCCCATATTGGTGACAGGTAGAGACCTGAGTCGCGGTTAAGATTGTTAGGTTGCGAGAATGCGAGCATGCAAGAATTTTAGTTTTAAGAGAGTTATATTTCTTTAGAACTTGTGATATTTTAATATCAATGATGTTTTGAATATACGGAATGAAAACAGTGGCAAGTGTGGTATTGCGTTCGGTTTCATTGCTATTGGAAGGTTGTGATGAAGTGTCCAAAAATTTCTCAACATCTTTTATCCGTCAAAGAAAAAATTCCATATGAGATGCCAAGAGTTTACAGCACTCCATGGATATTCGGCAAAGAATACATTGGAGAGATCGGACGAAAAATATCAACTAGGCTCGAAGAATATGAAAGAGCCTTACGACTAAGACAAATAAACTCATCAGCAGTTGCCGAACACAATCACGAAACCGGACATAAAATTTTATTCGATAAACGACGAAAAATCCGAGAGTTAATAGAAATCTATAAGCAACCTAACAATCTTAAAAGCGGCTCAGGTCTCTACCTGCCACCAATATGGGATTTTTTCTTTGACGGATAAAAGATGAAAGATTTTTGGACACTTTACCAAAACCTTCCAATAGCAATGAAACCGAACGCAATCCCACACTCGCCACTGTTGTCCTTCCGTATATTCAAAACATCATTGACAACATATCAAAAGTTCTAAGGAAATATAACTCTCTTAAAACTAAAATTCTTGCATGTAATCAATTCTTCTACCAACGGAAAATCAAAGAGTCTATAGAAATCTATAAGCAACTTCACAATCTTAACCGCGACTCAGGTCTCTAACTGTCACCAATATGGGAATCAGTCATCCTAGGCGGTGTTTATGCCCCTCATTTAGCTCCGCCCACCTCAAACTATATAGAAGCAAGTACTGCTCTGCTCTGAAAAAGCCAACAAGATGATTGGCGAAACGTTAGCTTGTTCGACTCAACAAAAACCGACGCAGAAGGAATCCAGAAGTTTGATAAAAAGCACAGTTGCTTTTTGTTTTCAAACATTTATGGAGACCGTATTTAACTATATAATGTCATTTATTAATGCTAGCTTTATATGATACGTTTTTGTCAGAAAAAATTGAAGACAGCGAAGAACTTTTGGAGCGACTAGCTACCAGACATTATTACAGCTACACGGCGGCATTGGGTGTGACTGTAGGAGTTGGCTGTCTCTTGTTGGTGCTTAATATGCTAATATTCGCTGGGATTTATTACCAGGTGAGTAACCACCCACCGTTTTCAAATTCGAAGCGCAGAGTTCCCTTTTCTCAGAGAGACAGAGACAGAAGACGTCAAAACGAAAACCATAATGTGATAGATCGACATTCAAGAAGCAATTCAACCCCATCCACGGAAACTATACCGATGTCTCAGAGGCCGTCGACACCGGGGAGCTCGACAAGGCAGTCGCCCATACTCGCGAGAAGAGAAAATCCTCATCGAGAACTTCCGCCATGTTACAATACCGTGAGTGATTATTCGATTTCCGTCCAAGATTTCCATTTATCTGTCCAAGAATTACGTTTTTATGAAATTAAATCATGGTTTTGATTCGCCAGTTATTTTTAAAATGATTATAGAATTCGAGGCTCTCTAAACGAAATTTTTGTTTTTGTCCGCATTGACTGTGGTGAAAACACTACTACAATTGCGTAGATTTGGAGTTTTTTTTTCTTTTTTCTTATTTACCTAACTAATAGCTTTGAGTATGAATGGCTCTATTAAACTACAGGGTGCGTACGATATTTGAGGACAAACGGATATTACAAATTATTTATTCATATTTATTACAAAATTGATTATAATTTCATGAAAATTTTACGTCATTTGCGACTCCGACTATATAATTATTCAATAAAATCCCCATTAGCGGCAATAACGGACTCAATCCGATGTCGGAAACGACTACATGCCCGAATCACATGCTCTTTCTTCATGTTGATCATTGTGGTCAAGGGGATTAATATCCGGGAAGCTAGGTGGCCATAATCATAAAAAATTTTTTGTCTGTGACTCCTAGTTTGTGCCTACATAAACTGTCCTCTCGATTTCGTGAACGATCTCTTGCACTTGTTGGACAAATTGTGTATTTCTAGTAGTGTCCGAACTTTTGCGTATTGTAACATACATCGTCAGGTAATGCTTCCATACGAATGATCGGGCGCAGTTGAGAAAATTGCAGATTGCTAAATCGGTGTGTTTGGGGTATATAGCGATGATAACCGCATATACCTCTTCATTTCTTGAGTTACTTGTTCTCAATAAATTACAGCCACATATAGGAATACCGTATGCACCCAGTACTGTGATTATTACCACAAACTTGTCAGATAGTTCATCACATTAGCCAGTTATATTATGATGCCTAATAAGAAGCAGTATAATAATTTATGTATATTCTTCTTTTTTTTTATAAACACGTTTTTAAGATTCTGCATAAATAAATTGTAACATGTTAACTTAAATTTCTTTAATGTTATTATACCTCTATAATGTATGCATTTTTATGCATACATGCAACAATATACAGAAGTAAGCCTAACGTTATTGGGAGCGTAACCTAGATTGAAAATAAATACTTTCTGAAAGGTACATTGAAGAACTTCGGAAAATGCGTGATGAATTTTCGTAACAAGTCTCGACAACACAGGATTTCATCAAATATTGGAGTAAAAACATATTTTTTTATTATTAAAAAATTTATTTATTCATTTCAAATTCGTTTATTTTTCTCTCTTGGTCCCTGTTGCTTTATCATTTTCCGTAAAGTGCAAATCACAGACTTTATAAGTCCTTGTTGTCGGACATCGGACATAACATCTTTGAACTGGAAACCTATGTTTCTTGCTGAATATATCAGGACAACTAGGTACGATATATTTCCACAAAATTCTAAATTGAATGAGCGCAATGTAATGTGAAACACGCAAATAATGTGACAACATTCAAAATGAAGCAAATAGATAAGTGACATCTCGCGGTTGCTTATTAAACACTCGCTCCAATCGTGTCTAAAGAAACTGGTGACTGAAATGTCGTTTATCAACCTTTGTGTATAATATACTATTATAGTATCATCATTCAAGGAGAGCATAGATAAAATGATACTTTATCGTGATTTTTCAGATACCGAGAAGTCAAACATCGCACGATTTTTACAATGTAAGCGTGACCACGGCTCAGAACACCCTCAAAAAGGACAAACCTCAACCTCCGCTAAGGACGTCGAGCAATCCTTCGGGAGGAGTCGTTAAAAAACGCGTTCAGATCCAAGAGATATCGGTATAGCATTCGGAGTCCGGGAGTCGTCGACAAGTCGACTCCCCGAATACGACAGGCGTCAAACCGGACGTGACGCCAGATCGTGAGGACTTTGGTTCGTTAGACCAATGCGATTTGGTATCGGTTCAGTTATAATATTGCGAACATTTTGGCGACGTTATCGTGGTTGTGTTAGAATAGGTCCTTTAACGCGCACCATGTACAGGATGTTTCGTTTTAGCGCCCTTTCTATCGTTTTTATTGGAAACGAAAAAAAGGATAATTTTAATTTAATTGTCTGAACAATGATGATAATAAATAACTCTATTGATAGTAACATGAAATGTTTACACTGCAAAAATTAAGTAGTTAGAAACAGTATTATGAACAGGGTAGATTAAAACAAATGATAATAGGACATGCTCATTTAAAATCGGCTGTTGTTTTAAAAAGGAGTGCAGGAGACCAGAGAGAGAGACTAACTCTCAGATTCAAGGTATGTCTTTTGCACTTAGTTTTGGAAAGTTTTCTGATGTAAATATTTCATTAGTACGACACTGGATACTCTACCAAAAAATCGAAATTTTATTCTTCCCCAAATTCGATTAAATTGTCTTCAGAACAATTGTTTCCTTGTCCTATTCTTTTCCTTTTCTTTTCCGTCTCTTCATCCAGAATTTTGTTTTAATGTTATTTATACAGAGTTGGGTGTGCTACAAATGGAGTTTTTCCTGGCTCATACAAGTAAAACCGAAGAAATATCCAGTTAACCGAACACCTGCCGAATGATGGATTATTCCAGACCCTTCCATTAAGAAGGCATCCCGCTAACTTCCCTTTATGTGTATAGCCAATACAAGTAATTAAATATCAAAGAAAAATCCACTTATATTTGAAATCGCAAAAGAGGAACGAGTGAGTGGGATGGTTTCAACTTTATTCTCAAATTCTAGTAATTCAAATAAAAACGATAGGATGAATGTGGCGAATTATGAGCGAACCCTCGTTAAACGAAGTTGTAAGTATAATTTATTCGGGACTGGATCCATAAACTTATGAAAGTTATGCGAGTGATGAAATTGAGATAATACTAGGGAAAGAGCATTACAGCGTCAACAACTGGTCAGCGGCTACACAAAGAACTAGACACCAAAAAAAAATCACGTCTTTTAATTTGTTCAAAAAGTGATCTAACATCTTCGCGTTTCCGGCGAAATGTTTCGTCGTGTCGACATAGTTGGTCAAGTCCGTTGTCTATATTTTGTATAAACACGTACAATACTGCCCTAACTAATTTAAGATGTGATAGAATATATTTAAGAATATCTTTAAATGTACAGCGTATCGAATAACAAGTTGACGTTTTTATTTGTGAGATATACTAGATGGTTAAGGTATGGCCATGCATGATAGCAAAATGAGACAAATATTAATAGTAGTAATGGGGATTGTTATCTTTATTTTGCTCATTTCTACAGTTGGGAAATTCCCGTAGTTCTGTTACTTCATTTGGCTATATAATTCTTACATGATCAAGCAATATTTTCTTTAAATATACGTAAAAAGTAAAAATAACTTCTTAAAAAATCTTCCTACTTACTTAGAAATGGTAAATATATAAATTTGTTATTTAAAAAAAAATAGTCAATATGCATTTTTTCAGAAGTACTGTTTCAAAAAAAAATACTTACGCATGTAATCACGCACATTAGACTATTATTTTCTACGTCCTAAAAAAGGAAAAATATACATTATCAAGTCACACAAATTAGAAAATCAAATTAACAATTTTTGATATCACATCAAAGTACATTATTTATATAACCTTAAATACATATTTTATTTAATTATAATGCGATAAGTTACTTCAAGTTTTAAGAATTTAGTTTTATTTATTACAGTCAAAAAATTCAAAGAGATATAAAATTGCCAAACATTATTAAAAAAAAACTACAATTAACTGCCATTAGTATGGACATATATGACAAGCAGAATTTCCATTACTACGCATTTCTATTCGGTACCAGCAACTTCATACCCCCTCCCTCAGCAACTTCTTCCAAAATTTAATTTATTTGTCCTGATTGATCAAAATATAAGTTCATTATGTATCTTGGAAAAATCTAAAGATGTACCAGTACACTGAAAACACGGGCGTTAAACATGAAAAGCTATTTGCCAATTTTGCAAAATATTTATTCTCAAAATAGGCGGGAGAAAATGCTTCTCTATAATCTGCAATAATCAATTTCGATCTTCTGCCAATAAAATTAGGTAGATAATGGCAAAATTTGTATCGGAAGCGCACCATGAAATTTTGATGAGTACTTTATTTGGGTAACGCGATTGGATTTTAGATCGTTTTTTAAGTTTTGCAAAAAAATCGGCTTTGACTTTTTTTAAAGAAACACAGAGATAAGATAAGATATTGATCACCCTGTATTTTTTTAATTTCTTGAGCTACAGAGTTGATGTTTTACCGAGTTGTACAGAAAATTATAGAAATATCATGTACGGTTATGTTTCGCGTTTGTATAAATATGTGAGCTTATTTTTTTTCTCTCAACGCGTTTTTAAAATATGTACAAAAATAGTTTTTTAAGTTTAACACCCCGTATCTTTTTAACGAAGCCTCCTTTATGTGGGGGTTACATCAAAGATGACGAATCTTAATTTTTAATCACCGTTTCTCATTGATCTATAAATTTTCATCTATTAGATAGTCTATACCACAGTAGAAGAAAAAGGTACTACGTAAGTTAGATTCGGTTGGTTATAGAGGCCACGTCTTGATCAGCACCTTAACTATCTTTAGATTATTGAATTTTAGTTAACTTAACGCCCAACTATTACCCCTGCGTCAATTCAAATACGTTTACATCTCATAAGCACCGTAACGCTCAGTTATTAGTTTCGATCGTTTTGAAATAATTATGCTGATTGCACTTAGCCAAAAACGGGTCGTTTAATTAGTAAAATGTGTTATCTAATAGTGGGTTGAGATAGCGAGATATGGTATTCTATATTAAATTTTCTTCGACATACAGGGTAAATGATGAAATTGCGCGTCACGTATAGGTATATCAAATTTTATGTTAGGGTCGATTTCGATTCGCCGACTTTAAACTTTTAAATTTCAGGCTGGCATCTGCGGCAACTCCGACCGATCAGTACCTGAGAATTATTTTGTGTTGGAATCAATATTTTTGAGACAACACGCATATTTACAACAAACCAACACATTCTATAATAAGCAATGTTAATAAATATCTCGTTTAAATCTATTTTAAAAATGCTGGACACTCGAAATGCAGGTAAACAAAATTTGCGGAGTGATTTCAGAGGTTTTTTTCTGCACCTCTAAAAAAATTAGCATCCACTTTTTTGCATATCTAATTTTTATCATACGAAAACAAACATCACCATCTGCAAATGCAGTGTCTGGTTTACCATATTGAAAATACAAAAATTAAACTAAGAAACATGAAACATGGAAGTATGGAAGTTAGAGTCTCAAATATTTCTAACGCCAACCGTAGAAAAGTAAATGTCATGTAGATATTGATATTTGTGATATATTTGTTAATCTTTAGGTAAATATATTATATAAAATTAATAAATAATCTTAAATTATTTCAAATTATCGCTCATTGGTTAAATTTTGTTCATAGAAAATCAGATATAAATAATTAAAATTTTATGAAATTTAATTTTTAAATTTTAACAATTAATAAAACTGTTAAAAAATAAACAATACATCGTGTTATATATTTTTTACAAATTATAAGAAAAAAATAATAATAATCCATAGTTACAGAGTGATCACTATCTGAGTTGTACAGAATATATTGCGTTTTCATAATAATTAAAAATATTGTAAAGAGAAGATATTGTGAGAGACATATTTCTGAATGAAACACTTTTTATACCTATTGATTTTTTTTAAACTCGTGAAAATAATTTCTTACTTATTATAAAAAAATTTTGTACAACTCCCAGCTCTTAATAATAAAATATACAGGGTGGACGATATCTTATAAATTCTCTGTGCTTCTGAAATCAGTTCACAATTTTTCGAGTGTCAATCAACTTAAGCAAATTATTTGTTCGATTTTCGGTAATTTTGTAGGCAATATTTAAACAACTCTTAGAAATATTCATGTCCAACTTTTTAAGATACTGCTCGAAATCAACCTACCTATGTAAATTATTAAACGTTAATAAACAGTTACCGATTTAAACAAACTCTGTAAATAATATGTATTAACTAAGCATTTTGTAAATACTAAATTATAATAAAAATATCAAAATTATCGCGATAGTTTATTTGTATTAATTTATATCCCAGTCAACCAGATAGGTCACCACGCTTTTTTCTGAAGTCTTTGTTGACCCGAACCTTCGTCGAAGAAAAATACGAATTTTTCAATATAGAAGTCACTTGAAATGTTACTTACATATAAATATGCTTTAAACTTTAGAATTTTTAAATTAAAATTAAAAATTTTAATTGTCGGTCAATTTTTTTTATATTATTTTGTCCATGCAGGATGTCACAAGAAGAAGAAGTATTTTCAACATCGAAAAGCTTTCTATTCTGTGAACTGTACAATGTTATCACCAATTGATGGATTCTGATTTGATTTTCTCATTGTAGGCTGAGAAAACATCAAATGAGTTAATTTTGGCACAAAAAGTAAAACATTTGAACTTATTCTGAATTGAAAATTCAACCAAGTAAACTACAATTTTGTACACCAGCTCATGAATCCCCGTCAATTATAAATTGGAATACACTACTACTAAATTGGACCTGACATAACATCGAAAATAATTTTTTCATAACTTACAGCTCCCAATTTAATCACCATTAAATACCGGCGTTATCTGTTGTAGGATATCCACACCACAAAGCTAAAGAAACGTATACAGCATTACCAATTCAATAATAGGACATTAGAACTCTTGGTAAGAACTCTTCATTAGAAAATGTCATTTGACCACTCGCTCACAGAGGGCGAGCCTCTACAAAACATGAATAGTGTTGCATAGCTTTCGCGGTATTCGGCGTCTACATAAACAAAAATCAATAAAAATGGTGGCTAGTATATGGGTAAACCGAGTTCTCTGCGTCGTTTTTCGTAACTAAGGTATGTATCCAAACGCATTTGTTATAAATTCATGGAAAAAGGTACGAAAGTGATTGATGTTAAAGCCTTTTTCATATTTTCTACAGAGTGTTATTTTATACTATCGTCAAAAAACAGCCACATATTTTAGAATCTGGGCGTAAACAAAGTGTCGGTTTCGTTTAAAAACGCATTGCAATTTTTTTTTCGAGCGGTCCGTCATAAATCCTGGTTTGGTTTTTCTGTTGGCCGCCACATTACAAACTTTCTCTTATACCATTAGGTGTGATTAAGCATTTAAAGTGTATTAACCTCTACTGGCAAACTTGATGGACACGAAAACGTTTTTGCCACGTAAAAAATGATGTTCTGGGTAAAGTAGGTGTATTCGTTTAAGAGGAAAGTCGGTACGTAAGTAAACTTGAAAGCGAAGCTGTGTCCGTTTTCTTTCTCTGGATCCTGCACGTGTAATTACCTAATAACATACGAGATACGCTTTACGAGATTAATAGAACATGTTTTGTTATAAATATACCATGTATCACAATTTAAATACTTAAGTGACTTCACAAAGTATTTTGTGTTCAGTTTTCTCCAAAAAATCGCTTCTGTAATTTTTATGTCAAAACGGAATATATGGTAAATTGTATTTCTTAAATTATTCAAAAAAATTAAAAATAGCACCGAGATGTAGGTAATTAACGTATTCAGATTTAAATAGAAATTATACTTATAAACTTGTGACAATTTCTAAGCTTTAGGTACTAGACACGGGGTGTTAAAGGAGACCTGACCTAAATATTTTTGAAACCTGTAAAAATTAGGGTTAGCATTTTTTGTCGCTTTTTCAAAATATAGAGAAGATGATCTTGCGAACGAAGAAGTTGGGGATACTAATTTATAATCCATTTTGCATGAGTGATTTTATAAGAGTAATTAACCGCAAACATTAAAATGTTCTGAATCTTATGAACATGCTGTTATTGAATTCACATCACATAATGGCAAAGTTAAATACTAGTTACATACTTCCTGGTATTCTGGACAAATTGCTGCAAAAATTTCTTCTAAGATGATTGTCGTGACAATGGATCTTTCCACGAGATGAAATAATAGCCAAGCCATAAATTAAATTACATCGATGGGGTAAAATGTGCAGCTATGAAAGGCGCATAACTTTTTTGGTTATTTCTCGATTATGTTTAATAGATTTGGCACTTCTCTATTTATTCCTAAACGTCTTATTACTGTTATACTACCGTCGTCGGCATAATTGAATGTTATTAACGTTAATATTAACAAGTTTGAGAGAACTCTTTTCAGGTCATTACCATAAGTGATAAAAAGTAGAGACCCTAAACCAAGTCCTACAGACAATTTCTCCAAAATGAAACTTTACTGATGATGTGTGTTAATAAACGATTTTTGTCGTCAAGTATCGTTGATTGGTTGTTGTTTTAAAAACGTATTATGATTCCTCAATTTTTCATATTGCTGATAGCGAACCTGGGGTGGGGCTCTGTAATTCGTTTTATGTGAAGACGGAGAGATTATTTCGGTATTGGAGCATTTTTAAACTCAATGGATTGAAACGTATCTCCGAACTTCAAGGCACAACATCGCTAAGAGGTTCTCTCTAAAAATCTCATCCGTTACACGTATTTATATATTTGGTTTGTTTTGAGCGTCGATTATTTTACTGGTTTATTTAAATTCTGTCAAAATCAAGAAAGACAAACAATGATTTGTTTTCACAATGACTGAAAACATTGGAGTCAAAATATTTTTTTGAATTTTAAAGTGTTTTTTTTTTTAAATAATAATAAAAATGCTACAACGTATGCGTTCAGATTATTTTATTGTCTAAAATATCTATTAACAATTTCTGACAGTAAAATCGCAGATGCATAAATAATTCTGTCAACTTTCCGAGGAGTATAACATAGTTTGAGACCCCCTTATGCATCTAAATCAAGTTTTAAAAACACCAATGCATCTTTCCACAGTACTTGGGCTTTGTCACAAGTCATCACCCAAGATTGTAATGCATAGCCTGAACCCCCTAACAACAAACATTTTCTTTTGAAGGAAACGTATAGAATTAAAATATACCTCCAAATACATAGGTTGCCATAAAAAGTGCTGAAGAGTGCAACTTTTCTCATATTCATTCAAAAACAATGATTGATATATATAAATATAAATCCATCAGTTATTAATCTGTCACGTTCACTTATTATGTGCATGTTTTTAGAATGAAATCCTTTTCTGCTGACATAGCATTCCTATTATTATTAAAACAAATACCTACCTGTAATGCGGTTATTCTATTGTATATTTTATGTCAATTTTAATTAAATTAAATGAAATGTGCAAAAACGAAGTGACAAACATCAGTTCACCAAATTAAAAAACGACTTTTGGTTAGGTTGGGATTTTCTTTATCATTGTTTCTATGTTTTTAACACGTGGAGTATAGTGGAATGATAGCCGAGAAGTCTAGAGAAATGCTTAGCTTAGTTTCCCTTCGCATCCGCATCCGTTTCGCTTAGGAATATGATACAAGTTACAGAGTCTCAGTCCTGATGAACAGGTCACCAGTTTTTAATTTTTTTAATTCTCGCAAGGGTTATTAATTATGTTACATTTGTGAAGTCTCATTGTTTTAGTGAATTTAGAGGGAACGATTTTTATAATAAAATTTATGTATTTAAAAAATAAGACCCAGTTAAGTGTAACGGCCTAGTGAGCAAGTCAGGAGTATGTCACTGAATAAGTCATAATTAATCGGTAAATGATAATTTTTAATTGCCGCAAGCGTTTGCTTTTGATTAAAATTAATTCTGCATTAACTCGTCATCGCTGGAATAAAATTAACCAGGCACTTGGAATAAACGAATACGTATAATATTATAATATGCATAAACGCATCTACAGGCAGAGTGCCGAGCCTAACAAAAACTGCACATTCTTGACTGTCACCTAGGTCGCCCTATAGAGGAGGCAGCATTCCGAGGATTTTTCAAGCTTGGAAAGAAAACAACCGCGAACAGGTCTTCGTCGTGTCTGGCGCTGTTGCCAAAAAGGAAATCTTCACAAACGTTACTATGGCGGCAAGGCAAATTGTTGGATAAAAAGCCTAAAGCAATTTGGAAAAGTCTATCACCGCGCCCCGTAGGGCACCATTTTGACGTTGCGCAAAACGTTTCAATATTAAAATTATGTTAATGTCAACGACAACATCGTACAGATTTCTTAAATGTTTTTTACAAGCTTTTATGTGCCGATATTCGAATGCAAAATAATTTTCGAAATTTTTATTGTATACACTCATTACGTGTTTAAATAAACCTGAAGCACCTACGTGATCGTCTTATGTGTCCAATGAACCGGGGATATTTGTCAAATGACGGCAACGTTGCGGTTTTCCGTTAAAGACTGGTTCCGGTCAACAACATGGTCCGTACTACTGGTACCATTCCATGTCACTGGTACTTCTCGCATGTTGTACGGTTTTCGTCATGCAGAACGTCCGCAGAAATTTTTCGCTATAGTTTTCCATATGTCGCCAAATATTTTAAAGCGTCGGTCTTTTTTTAATTTGTTTAACCGACTCATTAGTTTTTACCAATTGGTACTGTTTAAAGTCAATTTTGAAACAATAGTTATTGTCGTTTCTGTACGACATTCATGAAAATCCAACGAAGCAACTAACTATACTATCAATACAATGAAACAATCACATAGAATTTTTATCTTAGTTTAAACCTGTGCAGTTCAGTTTACGTCATATAATCATGGATATGATTGTGGTTTACTACTAAGAAGCAAACTTAGAGTTCAGTTTCTTATAAAAAGCTAGCAATGTATATAAATGTAGGAGCATATATCTTCATAAGCGTGGAACAGGTGCTTAAGCATCATCTCTTTAATTTCTGTTGTTGTATGTAGCCTTGACATGGGCAAGATTGGGAGTCTTCGGAACGGCCCTGATCGATCCGGACTCAGTGCACGGTATTGGGCTAAAGGAGTTGCCGACCTTCTACAGGAGGGGCGGCATTCTGGACGCCCTCTAGAGCGGCCTGGGGGCACAACGGGCCCATCTGGTGGCCTAAGTGCTTGGACGCCCGCGAGGGCGCCCCTCTTTAATACCAATAACAATACCAATGTAGTCTTAAGGCTCTTTCATGTTCTTTGAGCCTAGTTATTTTTCGTTCGGTCTTTCTAATGTATACTTTGCCGCATATGCATGTAATGCTGCAAAACTCTTGGAATCTCAAATGGAATTTTGTCTTTGACGGATCGAAGATGCTGAGAGATTTTTGGAAAAGTGGCAAATAGGGTTTTGACGTTATATTTCTTTAGAACTTTTGAGTTTAAGAAGGTGATATCTTTCTATACTCTCGTTCTTGGTAAATATTATCGTTACAAATGAATACAAGGATGTTTGTCTAATTTCCTATTTTTAAAAACGTCGGCAGGAAATTGGAAAGGTAATTTTAACCTCTTTTCAAAAATGTGAAAAGAAAGTATAAGTTCGATATCAACAACGAAACATTCTGCATAAGTACTCTTGACATTTTAGAATGTTGCATAAAAAGTTGCAAGTTTTTTTTTTAATTTTATAAATAGGAATATAACGTAGCATTGTTTGAATTGTAGAATTTTTATAGACGCCCTCTATCGGCCAAACAGTTGGCTATTTCGTTTGAATCGGCGTGTTTTCATAAAATTTGAACCTCATGAACGGAATCACAAATTTCTTCCCTTCCTTTAGATAAAATGTGTTCTCGTACAACAACTTGTTTGGTTAGTTTTAACAACCAATATAACAAATTCGAAAAGAAAATGCGATAAAACATTCTGCATAAACGAAAATGAAAAGGAAGCCGAATCTATAAACCAATATGTTAAAACAGATAGAATATACGGTTCGCAGGCTTTTTCCTTAACCTTAAAGTTTAATTTAGTTTGGGGTTATACAAGGTCTCAATTGCTAATTACCTACATTTTTTACATAACTTAGAAATATGATCCTTGAATCTTCGTGCATTATCCAGCAACACACAAAAATGAATGGTTCTCCGTTTACCTCGAAATTTAAATACCTTATCAAACCACTTTCTGCTCAAGGCTGAAGTAGTTACCTCGGTCTTCGCAGCATCTGTTTTCAAGTTGTTCTTACTATAAATTAAAACCTTACCCAGATCGCAATGTTTATATGAAATAATATCATTGTAATGAAAAGGATAGAAAAAAATCAGAAGTTGTGGCAAAAGCAACATTTGAAGCATAGATCATTCGTTACCCAAAAGTAAGCGACGATCCTCTCTCAGCAGTATCCGCAAATACGGAAAATGGTCAGAAGAATTGACCACAAGTGAAGTTTCTGTTAACTAAATGAACTACCGTACTTGCAGTGCCGCGTGAATTTAATCCCTTCCCGGTTTGAAGGAGCTACTGTTTGAAATAAGTCCGTTGGCATCCAGTGCCGGACTTTTTTTCAGATCGAACCTGTTCGTGGTACACCGATGACGGTCAATTTGGTTTATTTTTCGTATACGAGCGAGAGATCGTTCGACCTTCGTTACGCCTTAAATAAGAAACGAGCCATCCGTTTCTCGGTACTCGTATTCAAGTGCGCTCTAAAAATATCCCCCTTTAAATACATAAAATTCAAGGATGGGATAATTTGTCCGAAGGATCCGGCCGGTTGATTACAGGCGAACGTAAACAAAGTTCGTTTTTTCGTTGTTTGAAAAAATCGATAGTGACGATAGTGGTCTCTTTCCTCCCATTGAGATTGGGCTGATAGTTAAAATAAAAGTAATAAAAGCAGCTACTGAATCAAATTAGTGGACCTTTCCTGAAACTCCCATTTTCTATCACACAGCGTCGCATCACAGAATTGTATTAATTTTTTTGGGCTCATATATTTTTACATCCTTCTTACGAGGCTCCACTCAATATAAGAATTTAACCTTTAACATGTTAACAATTTGTAGAAAATAGAACACCCTATATATTCATTCCAATTTCACATCTATGTACGTTAGTAAGGCTTCAAGTAACATTCATTTGTGATTAAAATGATCCTTAGCTATGCAACGAACCAAAAATTATGACAATTTCTTCTAATACATGTTGGAACCAATAGATTTTGGGCCATGTACTTTTACAATAGAATATTAAAATGTTTGTAATTATAAAATCACTTCAACCTGTCAAAATTTGACATTTAAAAAAAATAATGATATTTTGACCCAACACTCTTAAAGAACCTGTATTACCTTTAATATGTTTTTTCTATTATTAACGGGTGAATGAGAAAAAAGTTTATAGGGAAAAGCGAGGATAAAAGACGTTTTGACAAACCCACCTTTTAACTGACTCCAACTTATACATTTTGATTAAAAGCTTTTGCATTTTGATAGATTGTTTGGACTAGAAATTCCTTTTAAAAAGGATAACTTGAATAATTTTTTTTGCCGATAGTTAATACTATTAATACTTTAACTTTGATCCAAATCTAGATGCTTGTTTTTTTTGTATTTTTTGTAAGCTTCCTTTATGTTGCCAGCCACGTAGAAATTTTCTGTGGAAATTTCGCAAACACAAATAATCTGAAATAAACGCTCTTTCTAAAAATTCGTAAAAAACATCATGACGCACATATTGTTTACGTGATCCACCGCTCTAACTATGTTTTGGTAAACTAAATAAATCCAACAACTTATTTTCTGGTCAAATAAAAAGAAATAAGACGAGAAAACATTACCATTTTGGTTAGTTTTGGCTTTTTTGAATGTTTGTAGATGTAAATAGTCTTTCTTTTTCTTGTAGGATTTCTTCCATTTTTTTGTAGTTTTTAATTAGTATTATGTTTGTGAAGTTTTTGTATTGATGACTTTGATTTTTTTATCTGTTTCTCTGCAAAATTTAGAGCCAATATAGACGCTATATATTTAACATTTTCAAAATCTCCAGCTATGAATAACTAACACAGTTGAATATTGTACGTTGAAATGTTTTTTATCAGTAATGAACTAATTTTTTTAAAAATTAATATTTGGTGCTTGGTTATACGTACTGCAGTAACGCTAAACTTTAAAAATATAACGACATGCTAAATAACAAACAGAAAAATCTCTAGTAATAAGCCGAATCCATTCACTCGACTAGCGTTTTGATGCATCCAACACTTGCAACGTTGGTATTTAACCAAATTCCTTTTCTAAATGTGTATACATAATCGTCGGGTTAATCAATCAAAAATATGCCAGTAATTTATACACGTCAGTAATGTTCCGTAAAAACAATTATCCAGGTGTTTCAGTCATGGCTTAATAATTGCCGTAATTCATGACCTATTGCGTAGGTTCGACAGGATGTGTAAAAATACCTATAACAATATTGCATCCTAGGATGAATTTCTTCTGAAGATGGTCCACTCCTTGAACGCATCTAAATTGCAACTTTGGTTTCGTGAAGTGTCCATTAGAATGGTAAGAGATCCTAAAATCTTAATTGCCTGTAGCCCTCCTATTGCCTATAGGACTATGACTACTCATATTTTGTTAAAGTCGTCCTTGTAAAGACTTAGTTAATTTAAGAAAAGTCTGGTACTAAAAATACAACGTCCTAGAACGATGTATTAGTTGTGAATACGATAGTGATAGTATAGAAGCCGCAGAGACGGTCAAATTGTTACACCTCTGGTGACTTTGGTTTTTTTTTATATCTTTCGCGCATGCACATACATTTCACGCACTGGTACCCTGCACTTTGTACCATCTCTGTAAGCAGAACACTTAACCGAACATCTGTTGATTGGGAGCAAAGATCTTAGACTAGGTATATATAGCGGCTATATTGTGGTACCCTAGAATAGTCAATCAACACGGTCGAAACGTGACTATCGTTTATCAAGCGTATCGCATATAATATACTGTACCTCCCACATTTCTTAAATAATTTTAAAAAAATTAATTTAGAATAGGGTGTAGATACGATTCTACTTTCTCTTACACTTCTTCAGTCGCTAATGTTGTCGTAACGGGGTTCAGAATAAATTCTAGAAGCGAGTGATGACATCCTCCACGAAAAAAAAAGCGAAAATCTTCATTTTCACTAAAGCACATAAAGACGATCTATTATACATCGACAGATTCAAAAAATAAAATGGCTAGCTATAACCAAATCAGATTTTGCAGACTAAACTAACCGGAGTGCTAAAAAATGTCTACCACATGCGTCGGCTATCGGAAAAACAAACAAACGGACTTTACAGACTAAACTCAATAAATTACCGGACAATTTTAAATACAGGCAACTAGGCAACATTAGAACTGTTGTTTAAAAATCACCAAGTGGTTTTAAGAAAATCAATTACAACTGTGAAAGGTTAGCATAATCCAAGATAGTCAATTCAACACTATGAGGTTTGGATGCGCCATAAATTTCTTGCATAATTCAAATATTTTTTAAATATAATTTTATTATGTGGTTAAAATATTAGAAAAATATATTTAAAATATTTTAGGTACCTACCAATAATAAACCGATTTATGGACACTAATATACAAACTTTATATACCTATGGCTTTTAGGACAAGGCAACATAATTTTTTTTTATTAAAATAACCACATCATGGACCATCCATAATATGTATCCTGTATATGTATGTATTTATTTATTGGTTGTAGGTTATTGAAGTTCCATAAAGAAAAGTCTTTAGCTGTCGAAAGCCAATGATTTTACCATGAATTACAAGATTATTTTGTATTTACTGATTCAATAATAAATAATTTAGATTATAATTTATCATTCACTGCCACTGGGTATATACTTGGGCAAAATTATATTGTATGGCTCTTTGCCTTTTACAGACGTGATCTCCACACTATCGAAGCGGCATATGAAAGTCAATTCAGTGTTGTAACTTACCCAAGATACAGAGTGATTTAATTCCTAGTAGCATTCTGACTTCAACATGATAGAAGCACCAAATGCATATGATACACACGGAGAGTAACTTCATTTTTGAGATAAATGGTGTTAAAAAGTTTTTTTTTTCATCTTTTTTCAATTTTTGCCGTACATGAATGCGGGTATAATTGAAAAAATTCTTAAATTTAGTTACCTCCTCTTAAGGCTAAAATAAAATGTGAAGTGTTCCTTCTAAATAAAATTTTTGAAAATAATTGAAATATAAAATTGAAACGAAAAAGTTCTTGGGGTAACCGTAATCTTTTTAATTAAAATTTAATACTGAAATGAAAAAAACTCAATATCCCTCCTACTCAGCTTATGTTTATATATAATTTCGACTATAAAAGCAAGGTGCTAAAATGATTGGTTATTTTCAGCTGCTATACCTGTGCAACACAAGTTGGTTTTTGGTACGTCCGTGTGTTCACAGTTTTTGCTGGACAGTGTTATATTATTAAGTTACCCTGTTCTGCACATTTTGCTTTCATAAAAATAGCTTATTAAATTAACCAATTAACTTTTTTGTAGTGCATTTTATTTCTAGAAAATGTAACAACCAATGTGTATCTCGAAATATTATTCTAACATTCAAAAATACTTTTACGTTTTAAATAGTTAGATTTTGAAAAATATTTCTAAGGATTTTAAAGTAACCTTTATTTTATCTTGTCTTATTATTATTGCCATTTATTATTATTATTATTACCCCCAATGCGCACTATCGTTCGATCTTATTAGCTGAAATAGGAATGTTAAAACTAACACGCATAACTCTAAAACATTTTTCCATTTCAGGCCCTCAGTGAAACACATAAATGGTGAAAGTGACCGACGAGCCTCTGCCCCCCACGGTGGAACCCCCAAACTCTCACCTCTCCAACGCCGCATCGTCGACCGCGTCGTCGAATCATATGCACTCGTTATCCCGCAAGCCTCGCCCACCTGCTCGTCATGGTCACGCCCATACCCACCACGCCCATTTTCAACACTTCATCCATCACCATCACTGTCCTTTTCCACCACCCGAGTGCGCGAACGCGTGTAACGGCGGCGGACCTCCCGTCAAGTTTTATCTGGGGGCGGGATTCGAACCTCAGAGAGTAGGTTTCTACGGGCCCGGGCCTAGTCAACGAAGCCAAGGGGAATACGTGGTATACTTGCACGTTAATCCGGGCGTTACGATTAATTTTCAAATTGGCGATACCCTGGAGATACTACGAGGTAAGGAAGAAGTGGGTATACTTCTACCAGAAATATAGTGCTTTTACAACAGACCGCGTGATTAACTTTGCCCACTGTTTATTGCTCTCTTATAGAACACCCTGCCGAGCAGACCCTTACCCGTAATATTTTCTTCTTTTATTACTTGTTTTTCACAGTTAGACCAGATTTGTACTGATATTTTAGCTACGATCACTAAATTTTGGTGCAGTGTTATTTCTTCTTTTATGCGCTTTCAACTCCGACCAAATCATGTCAATCGGGTTCAATATACAATGATACAGGGGTAATCTCAAGATTTCATGTCCCTTTTGTTGTGCCATCGAATCACTTTTGTAGTCTTTATTAAATAATTTATATATTAATAATTATTTTTAATAATTCCAGAAGTTGTTTTTTCGTGTAGCTCTCTTCAAAATATAAATCATTTTCGCACAGAATTTTTTTAATTTCTTCTTTATTTGGAAAAGTATTTTGAATTTTTCTAATTAGGGCCGAATGATACGAGGCATTATCCAACACAATAACAGTATTTGGCGATAGTTTTGGCAACAGTTTATTTTCAAACTAGTCCTCAAATATTTCCGAGGTCATGTTTTCGTGGTAATCCACACTTGAATCTTTGACGTTTTTGGCAGACAAAAATAAGGCATTTTCGACCCAACCATTTTTGGATCAAGCATGAAGAATTTACTTTTTTCACTGCGTCGTGAGTGTCGAACCACGTTTTGTCTAAATACACTATTGGCCCTATAAAATTGTGAACATTGAAAACAATGTGTTTAGCATCCGAATACAAATGTGTCCATATCTTCGTCTAACAGGGGAACATCTGCTTCATTCCACGGTCTCCATATTTTAAGGTGTTAAAAAACAAGAACCTTCAAAAAATGTTTAATTGTAAGATTCTAATAAATATTTATCTGTATTCTTATGACGTAATTTTATCTACCGCGTATATAATCTATAATCTTAAAAAAGATTGTTGTTATTTACGAATCGAAGAACTATATAGACGACATAAAAATACAACAAGAAGAAGAATGTTGTTAATCGACAGACGCACAAGACAAAAATGATTATTTTCAAACTTACCTGTCAGGTAAATAGAGTGCTTGAGAACTATTCAGTGAAAACAGCCTCGCAGGGTTAAAGCTCGAAAATCAGGTACATAAATACGTACTTAGTGGAAGGATCAAAGTCAAATACCTCCGTAATATATACGAATATATTGTTATTTAGATTAAAGTCTTAGGAACGATACATATCATCTAATGTTAAAATAAACTCTTCTACTTATTCGAAAATACCCCGCCGCATCAATGGTTAATCAAATTTAAAACGGTCCAATTAAGTTTCAAATACAAATCTCAAGTTTCTACAAGTATTCGTTACGGTCCATCTCAGGCAAGACCTACTTAATGCAGAATAAAGTTCTGTCGGGATTGGTTTTACCACGGTCCGGCGAAGGTCGGTGGTTAAGGTACTTTAAAATACTTAAAAACGCCAAAGCAATGAATGCATTATATTTTTGGTCGAATTATAATTGATTTCGACAGCGCATAACCGGAAATGATAGTCGAGTTACGTCGCGGTTCCTCCATCTATTATGTAAACTGTCAGCCGTCTCATGTATGCCATGGTTGCCTGTATCTTTCTTTACTACTCTTCGTGGCACTTCTATTCCACGAACCATGCATTTAAACTAACCAAAACAAATTCTTAGTTTTTTACCTTGTTTTCATTGGGGGATGTGTCTAAGGGGATTATATTAGTCAGGATTGTCAAAAAAAGTGTGTTGTACGTGTTAACTACTACCACTGTGTTGCTGATACTCTTTTACCCCATAGCAAATGGTGACACTTCTTGTGTTGTTTGGGTGTTTAGATAAGTATTTGCAACAAAGTCTTTACTCTTACTCGCACTAAACACAACGCGCAATATGAAAATTGCTTAGAAATGATGCTGATTCAAAGTGAAGTGATCGATATACTCGTAGATGACTAATTTACCTGCTTTCTAGAGTTCACATGTTACCGCTAGGAAGATTGCGTTAGTTGAAGTTAGGTGAAGCAAATAAAAAATTAATGGGAGAATCACTCAGGCAGTCCCCAAAACTAACAAGAAAAGTAATACAAATTTTACAGTAGACAATAGAAAAAGAAAAAGGGGAATAGAAATGTTGATTGTTATCTTTCTCTTGAATTTGTCACATCTATAGTTACAGTATAAAGAAACAACTACCACCATAAGAAAAAATGACAAACACGATATTATTGTTTGTTTATCAAACAATGTTTTCGTTAAATATTTGTATAATAGGAAATCTATAAATATCTATAAATATAAAAAATATATATATTTTAAAAAATTATTGGAAAATTTATTGATAAAAAAATAGCAATGTGTATTTTTTAATATTATTTCACAAAACACTTAAAATAAACATGTTTATCTAAAGGTATAGGGTAGGGATTAGTTTTGCACCCTATCTTCAAGGGAAACAGATAGAAAAACGTGTGGATGCCCTCATTATGCCCTTCAGTAATTCTCACACATTTTCAACATACTAATTTTCGTTAACAAAGGTTTAAATAACAGGTTAATTAAAAACGCAGTAAGAGTAAACGTCAAAAAAAATAATGACTGGAGAAATTCTTTAAATGACATTTTGCGTAAATTACTGTAATTTAGTTCGCCATTATAGCAAAGTGTTTTTTTTGTACCGCAAACCACCGCATTTTGCGTAAAAACTATTACTGTGCAGCAGTAAATCGTCTGTGTGGTTTCTTCGTCACGTGCTGCTTTCTATTAGTTTGCTTGGTGCAATTTCCGCATTTTATGTCATTTAAGTCTAAAAAATAATGTATGGAATATGTATACAATACTAACAAACACACGGTTACTATTCCTCCCCTCCCTAACCATAATTTTTTGCTGTTGCTTATCATTTGAAAGACACGCTTTCTATTTGAAAATTTTTCTATTCATAATTTAGTGATGATTAATAAATAAATAAGTCCATACGGTGTCATTCAATGATATAAGGAGTCCCACAAAATTTGCAAATTTCATTGAAAGTATTATTAAGTTTTTCTTTGAATTTATTAAGTTCTCTAGCTTAGAACACACTGAATTTTTTCTGTCTTACTGAAATAGCACACTCCTAAAAATATTAGGAAGGTAAGTATGTTGACTTTGAGTTAAATTAATAAAATTAATTAATTAATTAATTAATAAAAAATATAATCGTTATAAAAATGGAAATATGCATGGCTTGCACCCACATCTGAAAATGTTCGTTATTTTTTTACATGAGCCCAAAAAATTTATTAGTATGGTTTAAACCTTAATCAGAATGTAAGTATAGTGACTGAAATCGCTGCATCTTTATGATAGCCTCGCATTTTAAAAGAAGCGGCCTTTCCAAAATGTAATGCAAAACTAGCATACTGTTTAAAAGCGCTTGCCTTTGTACTGAGTACTTCGACATAGAATGCCCATCTGACGTTATCTGGAATCCCATGTTGTTCCCTGATGTCTGTGTTCTACACCATCTCACCATCATCATTCTCAGCTCCTTCATTTCGGCTACACGTAGCAATTTTTGTTTGTTCTTCTATACCATATACCATGTATATTTTTTAACTTTTAATCATACTATCCTTTCGTATATATTGGTTTGTCCAGCCAGGCAGCGTGACGTCACTCTTCATTTATTAATTTGGCCTTTTTAATTGTTTGCTACGTAGTTGCTGGACCTATTCGCGCCGATCTATTTGCATTACTTGCTCCATGGGCTTATCTTCAATCTGAGAGGTTCTTTAGCGATAGTCACGCTTTTTTTTTTCAATTGATATATTATTGATTGTGAAGGGATTTTATGCAAAATAATGAAATCTAAAATCTAGTAAGTAAGACAAGTGTACAAATCGGTTAGTGGTTTCAAGTAAATTACCAACGACCACTAAACTCCAAAGGCAACGGTCGAAAACGAAAGCAAACGAAATACGAAAGCTCGCATTAAAAATTGCATAATTTAAAATTGCGTTACATAAACGGAAAAAATATCAAAGAGAACGTTCGTGTGGAAAAAATCAGTTTAAACACCATCGATACGCTGCAACACAATAACGAAGTAATGGTGAAAGCATTTTTTTGCTCTTTGGTTATTGAAGTACGAGAGAACCGCTTGCACTATATAATCTGCGAGCTTGCGCACATATAAATGTCAAGGAATCGTGAATGTACGTTCCGACTACTTGCTTTGTTGTGTGGGAAATATCAACCCGACAAGGATCACTAGAAATACGAAGCCGCCGAACGATATTTTTCTGGTAATCAGAAAAAACGATTTTAGATTATTTTCACCAGAAATCAAAAATCAGCAAACAAATTTGTCTCCAAATGTCGCATGCAATCTGGAGCCGAATTCATGAAAACTTCAAATTTAGCATTATGAATGAACACAAAAAATGGTTGCAGGAAATAAATAAATGTTTTATTTCAGCCCTGTACTTATTAACAATTTTTTTCCTCAGTTAATTGAAGTCACACTCCATATATGAGGATCTTGTACTGTAGCCGTTTTCAATATAAACTTTTAAATTTAGATCTGCAGATCTCTCAATAGTTCATTTTCATGATTATCCCAAATTACCGTTTTTTGTATCCTAAAAATATTCCTTAACAAGTTGTGTCTGTTACCCAAAATATCATGGCACATTTAAAAATGTATTAGAAATTGCCGAAGTTTAGAGTTGAGTTTTTTGTTAAATTGTTTAGATGATATGTTCGTTGAAATGAATGCATAAACATTTTGCGTCCTCTATGACATCAGTTTTATTTCGAATTTATTTATTCTTTGTTAAACCAAACTGAGGCTACTGTAAGGAATTCCTGAGCCTTAAAAAGTAAATCTGGAAGACTTTTTCCATTCATTCACTAACTCACGGGTCATTGAATTGGTCCTAGTATGCTCCCTTGTTAAGTACCTTAAT